AAGAAAGATCACAGACCTGCAATGTAAAAACTGTTCAAGAACAAAAACATAGTCCTAGCCAGGCAAGGTGGTGTACACATGTAAGCATAGCAGTTCCAGAGGCTGAGGCAGGAGGATATCAAGTTCAAAGCCAGCCTCAGCAACTTAGGGAGGTCCTAAGCAACTTAGCAAGACCCTGTGTCAAATATAAAAAATAAAAAGGGTTAGGATGTAGCTCAGTGGTTAAGCACCCCTGGGTTCAATCTTTGGTACCAAAACAAAAACAAAAATAAAACATATTCCTAAATATGGGGGGAAAATACATATTCCTGAAATTGGTAATATGCTATAAGGTTTTAATCTAATCATGAGGAAATATCAGACAAGCCCAAATTGAGACACTCTACAAGATAAAACATTTGTACTCTTCAAAAATGCCAAGACCATGAAAAACAAAGAATGAGGAAATGTTCTAGATTAAAAGAGTTTAGTTATGACAACTAAATGCGATATGTGAGTATGGAATGGGTTCTGGACCCTCTAATATTTTTGTTTCTCTTCTTTTTTCTCTTTTGCTATAAATGGCATTATAGGACAATTGTCAAAATGTGAATAAAGTCTATAATTAGTTACTAGCATTGTAACAATGCTAATTTCCTGATTTAGCTAATCATATTGTGACATGTAGGAGAATGCACACTACTTGCCTTTAGAGATAAAAGGACAACTTACTTTCAAATGGTCCAGAAAAAATAAGGATATGTAATTAAAATAAGGGTATGTATATAAGTATGTTTGCTGGGTGCTCCTTTTTCTATCTTTCTCCCTCTCCCTCTCCATACTTTTGTGTGTGTATATTTAAATATATATATACCAGTTGCAGTGGTACACACCTGTAATCCCGGGTGCTCAGGAGGCTGAAGCAGGAGGACTGCAAGTTCAAGGCCAGCCTCCTAGGCAACTTAATGAGAACTTGTCTCGGAATAAAAAAATAAAAAGAGCTAGATATGTGGCTCAGAGGTAAAGCACCTCTGAGTTCAATTCCCAGTATCCAAAAATAATTAAATAAATAAATATGCATATATGTGTGTGTGTGCGCATGTGTGTATAAAATATATATGTGTGTGTGTATATGTATATATATATATACACACACATATATATATGTGTGTGTGTGTATATATGTATATATATATATATACACACATATATATTTTAAATATCTTCTTCTTATAAGGACACTTATAGTCAGATTGTATTAGAGCCCAACCTAATGCCCTCATTTTAATATAATTATTGTTTAAGGCTCTATCTCCACATATAGTCACACTCTAAGGATAAGGTTTTGGGGCTGGGGATATAGCTCAGTTCATAGAATGCTTGCCTTGTATGTACAAGGACCTGGGTTCAATGGCCAGCACCCCCACACACACACACACACACTCACACACGATAAAGTTTCAACACTGAATTTTAGTGGGGACACAATTCAGTCCATAGCAATGTGTATACATAAAGAGAAACTGATCAAACAAATGGCAAATGTAAGATAGTAACAGTTGGGGAATCTGAAGGAAGAGTATGCCAATATGCCTTTGAACTTTTCCTGACACCTTTCTATGTCTGAAATTATTTCAAACTTTTAAAAAAGTGATGTTTCTGACCTCCTGGGGCTTAGCATAGGCAGACATACAGTGAACAAGAAAAAAGACTAAGAAAAAGAATATGGTGCTGAGAAGACAAGACAATGGATGTGGGAGGTCGTATAGTCTGGAGCATGGCCTACAGGTTATATGACTAGGTACAATGATTCCCAGAAACTGTCCCCAGAAAACTCCATATGGAAGTACCTTATGGTTGGCTACCTGGGCTTATAACTGTAAAGAAGGAAAGGAAATAGGCATGCCCAGTTTCAAAAAGCCCAGCCCTCTTAAAATTTTGAGAATTCTCTTTGCCAAAAGTGTGAACTCTCAAGAGTGAAATTATATGTGAACATCATTGTAGGTGTTTATCATGCTTAACAAAAAGGACGTGTTTCTATGTTCCCACAGTATTATATTGAAATACGATTTGTGAAATAAAAAAAGACTTTATACGACAATTTTTAAATCAAGTTCTGTGGGATGAGGTGCTCAGGCTCTTCTATACCCAATCCCAATCAGTCTTCCTGCCTGCTTTCTTCCCTCAGACCCAACAGAGCACAGCATGTCCTTTTATAAAGTGGTCACATTCCTCCCTGGTTCCTAGAAGCACTGTTACTCATCCCCTCAAGGCTGCACCCCCAGACTATCTGACCTAAAAGTTTGACCTCTAGACCGCCACATCTAGTTCTTCACTGGGACTTGTATAATTTCTCTCCAAAATATCTCTCAATTTCATCTACAGCTCTCCCCACTGACCTATTCCTGGTCAACTACATCTCCACTCAGACAAATAAGATAACCTCTTATCTGTTTTGGCTTTTAAAAGAGTATACAGCATTGTCCTTCTGAACACCTTTCAAGGGTGACCACCTGGCTTCAAACAGGTTAAGATTCTTGGTGACTGCTTTCATTTCACTTCACGTTCCCCCTTGACAGTCACATTCTCACCGCACTGGCTTCTTTCAGTTCCTTGATCACAGCAAACTCCTGACTGCTTCAAAGCCTTTGCATACTCTGTTGATTCTGAACAGAACCCCACTTCTTCTTTCGATCAGCTAACTCATCCTCTGGAGACTTAGTTTAAATGGCATTCAAACTCCCCAGTCTCTCTTTGGTCCTTCCTGTCACATTATTTTAATGCTCTTAATGCATTCAATGCTCTTCAGTTTCTACAACTGTAATTACATATCATCTACTGGTATAATCATTTGATTAATATCTATATTCTCCAACTGAAGACAGAGGCCAAATATTTTGTTTAGCAATGAATATGGCTAACACCACAGTCTGACTTCAGGCTTAACCATTTTCAGAGTGGAAACCTTCATGTGGCTTTTTTGCTCGAGTGAGTTTTTAGTGTCTGATAAATTGGATTTCTCTTTCATAGTCTACAACCTGAGTCCCAACATAATGGGCAGGGACATCTTAGCAGTTTTACTGTCCTTTTATACTTACCTGTGACTGAGGCTAAAACATGAACTCTGAAAGCACCAACTGGCTAGGAGAAGCAGGAACCCTCTGTGACCAAAGTGGATTTAGTTGATAGTGTAAAGCTAGAGGTTTGCAAATGATGAGACAGCACACTTACACAGAATGAAAATGCAAGGTTGCAAATCCTGTCCAAGGAAGCTGGAAAGGGGATGAATAGGGGGTGGGTGAGAGGTTCAAGAGAGGAGGGACTGGTGTCTTTATAATTTGCCATTTAGCTTTTGTTTTCAGCATCTGCTATAAGCAGATGGTGTGCAGTGATCTCTCTGTTCAGCTGAGATAAGGAGGGAATTTTAAAAAAACCAAACTTCTCCAGTCTTTGGATAGCCCCTGTCTAGTGGAAAACAAATTGCCCTGAAGCAATTAGCAATCAGCAATTTCTCTTTCTCCATTTGCTTCTCTCACCAGGAAATCTTATTTTTTTTTATTCCTAAGGGGACTATACTGATATCAGTCAAATATTGACCTGGGATTTTCACCTAATCCTGAAGATTATCTCTTTTCCTCCATAAATCTAACAATATTAAAAGCTTTATCTAATAAATTGCTGATCTTTCATTGATTTAATAATTTTTTGGCTTAAAAAACAATCCAATTTTTAATTCAAAAACATTCTTGAATCCTTTATTCTCATGATGTTTTTATGATAATTGTATTACTTAGGGAATATAAGTTATGAAAAAAAGTATGAGTCTGCATCCTTAGGTATATAGCTTCTCTTCAGGTATATCAAATCATGTTTTAAATTATAAACTACAAAATTCAACACAATAAAAAAATTAATTCAACACAACAGGTGATATTTCAATGAAATAAAATCAACATGAAAATCATGGTAACAGGTACAGGGGACAATCTTATTTACACCAGACCTCCTGCACAACCATTTGCTGAGGTATTTCTCTAGTCTCCCACAATTTCCCTTTTCCTTGTGTTCTTCATTCCACTATGGTGTGTGTTAGTGGTCACTTGGTGTTATTGAATCCTTCACCCACATTAAAAACCTGTACATGGATGTTCATAGTGACCGAAAAATAAAAAACAACCCAAATTTGTCCATCAATAGATGAATGGATAAACAAAATTTGGTGTGTTCCACAATGGAATTTTATTCATTTTGTAAAAGAAATGAAGTCCTCAAATATGCTAGAGGCGTGAATCTTAAAATATTATGCTGAAGCCAGTCACAAAAGATTACTTACTGAATGATTCTATTTATATGAAATGTCCAGAATAAGAAAATTCATAGACATAGAAAGTAGAGGGGCTGGGGTTGTAGCTCAGCGGTAGAGCACTCGCCTAGCATGCGCGAGGAGCTGGGTTTGATACTAAGCACCACATAAAAAGTAAATAAATAAAACAAGGGTAGTGTGTCCAACTACAACTAAAAATAAACAAATAAATAAATAAAATAAAGTTTTTTAAAAAGTAGACTATTGGTTGCCAGGAGTTGGGAGCGACAGGGAGTGGTATGGGATGAAAACGCTCTTAGAACTAAAGTGATGATGGTTGCACAAATCTTAATACATAAACCCAAAATAAAAAAAAAAACGCAATGAGATGTACATTTTGAAGGGGAGAATTTTATTCTATGTAAATATATCTCTATTAAAAATTAGTTTAAATTTTTTAAACAACTGCAGGGGTGTATATTGCTCATAATAGCGCCTCGGCTACCTGGGTAATAAGGATGAAACACAGCAACACCAAGCTCCAGCAAGTGCAAAGCCAGCCCCTCTTCCGTACCACCGCGTTCCCTCGCCACGCCTCCAGGAGAGGGAAGTCCCGACATCCAGAACGCTGATTGGCTTATCTGTAAGAGCGGGGCGGGATGAAAGGGATGTCAAGTCCCTTTCTGAGGGGCGGGGCGAAGGCTTGGCTCGCGAGATTTTGCTGGTTCCGCATTTCGGATCTGTGAGGTGGGGGAGGCGGGGGAGCCAGACGCAGCGGTTCACTCAGGTCTGCAGCCTCTAAAACCCGAGCTCGGAGACCCTGCTGCCCTCCTTCCGCTGTCCGCGATCAGAGGACCGTTCTCTTCCTCTCGGTTCCCGCGCCAGTTCCGAATCCTGACGGGGCGGGGGCCAGCGGCCCCTCCCCTGCTCTCCTAGGACCGAAGATGAGCTTCCTCTTGTAAGTAGGGCCCGGCGGAGGGCGCCAGGCTGAGGGCGGAGGTCGGGGACGGCCAACAGGGTCCCGAGATGGTGACCCGACCCAGGATCAGGGTCGGGTGGCTGGCGTCCACTTTGCCCCTCCTCGAGTCCACGGTGGTGGCCGACAGTAGGGAGGGCCTGACGGAGATGAAGGTCGAGGCAAAGGAAGCTGAGCTTGAGGTTGGGGCGCTGAAAGGCCCCGAGGCCGACAGAGCCTTCAAACTTTTCCGCTCGAGCACCCCCGAGGGCGGGGAGGCGTTCTGGAGGCCTGGCCTTGCCCGGGGTTCCCAGTTTCTCTGCAGTCTCGAACTCTAGTGACGATTCTTGCTGACTTAGCTTTTTACTCTATCGTATGTCTGGTTTCGTCATTGTCAGTATTAAATTACCCCCATGGAAAAATGCTGCCCCAGGAAAATGTGTAATATCATAGTTGGAGAGAGCTGGAAGTAAGATGTGGGCCTTGCAGCCAGACTCTCCTGTCCACTTTTGTTTCTGCCCACTTACTGATTTTATGACTTTTTAACTACTCTTGGCCTCAGTAGAATCTCATTTTAGAAAGAAAGCTTGGGCCCAAACGAGGCTTAAATGGACAATTTTTAAGTTCTCAGATTTTTATGCACATTGAGATTTGAGAAGCCTTGCTCTATAGCATCTTATTCTTAGGTGGTTCTCTCTCATACAGTATTGCTCAGCTGTATGCTTAAATAATCATTTTAGTGATGAACATGATCCACTTGTTTGGCATTTTAAATTTTATTGAAATACAGTGTTTCATAACCAGAGTTTACCCCTTCTTTAATGTGAGAAATTTTAGATTCTTTCTAGTATTTTGCTTGTTGATGGACACTTGAGTTATTTACACATTTTGGCTATTCATGAATGCTGCTATGAACATGTTTTTGTGTGGCTACCCCGTCTTGGGTATATACCTAGGAGTGGAATTGCTGGTTTATATGTTACTTCTGGGTTTACTTTCTTGAGGAACTGCCAAATATACAGCATTTTACATTCCCATCAGCACTGTGAGAAGGTTTCAATTTCCCCACACCCTCTCTAGCACTTGTTAGTTGTCATTTTGATTATAGCCATCTGAGTATAAAGTGGGATCTCCTGATTTTATTTGCATTCCTCTAATGACTAATAATATTGAGCATCTTTTTTATGTAAAGTCTATTCATACCCTTTATCAGATTGTCGTTTTTAAGGTGTAAGAGTTCTTTATAAATTTTGGATAAAAACTTCTTACCACATCTGTGATTTGCAAGTATTTTCTTCTATCCTGTGGATCATTTTCACTGTCTTGGTGGTGTAATTTGAAGTGCAACAGTCTTGAGTTACACGAAGATTATATTGAATCTTGAGAAATTATTTCATGTTAGTTTTCTAGATTTAGTGATTAACAGCTTATTTCTGTGTGTAAAGGGCTGGTCCTTCTAATTTAATACTCCCTCTTAAATGTAGTTCTTTATCATATTAATAAAATCTTTATCTATATTTGATTTTTACTGTTTTCACAATTCTTTTTTTCTTCTTTTTCTTTTTGGTGGTGGTGGTATGAGGTATTGAACATAGGATTTTGCATATGCTAGACAAATGCTCTACCACTGAGCTACATCCCCAGCCCTTTTTATTTTATTTTGAGACAAGGTCTCACTAAGTTGCCAGGCTAACCTGGGTTTATGTGCCCCCATGCCTGGCTTTTTTACTTCTTACACTCTTGTTTAAATTTCAAAATCTTCAGGTAAAGTGAAAGTCCACTGTTTATTTCCTTTCCCTTCCTAGAAATAATTACCAGTTTTAACATGTATTGCTTTGATACTCTATGCATTAACAGATTGGGCTTCTGCTGTACATTTGGTTCTGTAATGTATTAGCCATGTTTTGAATCTTTCATGTGAACATATGTATGACATATGTATTCTGTCTTCTTCTTTACTACAGTACAGTATTCCATGATGTGGATGTACTATAGTTAGTTTATTCATTTACTGGTAAACTTTAGGATCGTTTCAGGTTTTTCACTTTTTTTTTTGGACACTAGGGATTGAACCAGGTGTGTACCCCTAAATCCCCTCCATGTTTTTCACTATTAAAAATAATCTTGGAGCTGGGCACAGTGGTGCACACCTGTAATCCCGGGGGCTTGGGAGGCTGAGGCAGGAGGATTGTGAGTTCAAAGCCAGCTGCAACAATATAGCAAGGCCCTAAGCCACTAGCAAGACCCTGTCTCACAATAAAATATAAAAAGGGCTGGGGATGTGGTTCAGAGGTTAAGTGTCCCTGGGTTCAATTCCCAGTACCAAAATCATTATCATCATCATCATCATCTTGGAAATCCTTATCTACAAATCCTTATCCACATCTAGCAGAGTTACCTAAAAGTGGAATGGATTGATTGGGGAGCTTTTCAAAAAGTGTTAGAAGGTACTGCCATATAACCCTACTAAAATGTTATTCACTTTGCACTTCCAGTGATAGCATGTTAAGATACTCATTTCTCCATACTTATTAATATAATCATTTTAACTTTTGACACTCAGACTAGGAAAAAATGTATCTTATTTAAATTGAACAATTTTTCTTCACATGTTTATTGATCATTGTACTTCTAAATTGCCTCTTTTGTCTCCTTAGCCCATTTTTCTAAAGGGTTCCTTAACAAATTCTAGAAGTCCTTTATTCAGTTAATCTTGTGTAAATATGTTGCAAGTACTTTTTTGTTGTTGTTGCCTGTCTTTTTGCTCTTTTATGGAAGTTTTAATTGTTCTGATTTAAAATTGTTCAATTTTTTTCTTTAAGATTTCTAGGTTTTGTTTCATTTTAGGAGGACCTTGTGGATGGTGTAAAATAGGAGTAAAAACTTTCCCCATAACAAGTTACATCTGTCTCATTTATTTTCCCTGCTACAACTTCAGATTGTTTGTTTCTTTTTCTGCGGTTTCCTTTGATAGCATCTCAAATATTTCAGTGTAGAAAACTGGATTCTGAAACGGAGAACTTCAGAGCTAACTCCCTCTCTTCACTATTTTCTGCAGGTGGAAATTAGGTCAAAAGGTTAGGATTCTCAGGTAGTCACAGAGCTAGTGGCAGATCAAGGACTAGAATCCAAGTATTTTCTTTGGTTAAAGTATCCTTTATAGTAGGTTTTCATTCCAGCAAAATTGCCTTATTTGTAAAATTGTGCTATTCTGTTTTCATGAGTGAAAAATATAAACCTTTTTTTTTTTTTTTTTTTGAGGAGGTGCTAGTGATTAAAATCAGGCCCTTGTGCATGTTAGGCAGGCAGTCTACCATTAAGCTACATCCCATCCCTAAAACATTCTTTTTATTGTGGTCATCAAATCCCTTCCATCCTGTCCTTTTCCAAGGAATTTTTTCTTTTTTGGTACTAGGAATTGAACTCAGGGTGCTTAACCACTGAGCCACATGTCTAGTCCTTCTTTATATTTCATTTAGAGACAGGGTCTCACTGAGTTGCTTAGGGCCTTGCTAAGTTGCTGAGGCTGACCTGAATCTTGCGATACTCTTACCTTAGCCTCCTGAGTGGCTAGGGTTATAGCGTTGCCATCATACTTGCCTTAGGAATTTTTTTTTCTCATTTTACACAGTGATTTATATGCCTAAAATTGTGCCGTTCTGCTTTTAGTACTAAAAATTCATACATTTTTACTTTTGATCCAACAGCAGTAGCCGTTCTTCTAAAACATTCAAGCCAAAGAAGAATATTCCTGAAGGCTCTCACCAGTATGAACTCTTAAAACATGCAGAAGCAACTCTAGGAAGTGGGAATCTGAGACAGGCTGTTATGTTGCCAGAGGGAGAAGACCTCAATGAGTGGATTGCTGTTAATAGTAAGTTTTTAACAATACTTAACTTCATTGGTTTTTGGAAAGATCTTGCTAAAATCTTGTTAATGAGGTTTCTTTTATAGGCATAGCTTTTATAATATAGTATCTGTAAGGAAACATAAGCACGAATACATCCAAAGCTGTGTTCTTCAGAATACGTAATTGTGGCTTGTGTGATTGAGTAGAGAAACGTGAGTTTAAAAAAAAAAATGAAATGCTTTGAGGTAATTCCTAAGGAGAATACCATGAAGAGCTGAGTAAGGTCAAGTAAAAGATTAATACATGCATGAATTCTATCATGGACCATGAGTTTCTAAGGAATCCATCTGGGCCGTTTTGCCTGCACTCCTAGTAGTACTCATTTGCCTATACATACAGAAAAATTGATTGCAGTTTCTATGGGCAATCAATTGATTTATGACTTAGGAATAGTCAAAGGAAATTGAGAGAGAAAATTGACGGATCCATGTGCCAAAGGGTCATTCTGAGTTCAAGAGAATGATGTCATGGCATGGACTGATGTGTTGAGGTTAGAGTGCCTCTTGTTACTGAGATGAGATAGTTCTGAGAACTTTTTAATAGAAAATTTCAAACATAGAAAAGTAAAGAAACTAGCGAATTCCCAGGTATACATTATCCAGCTTCAGCATGTATCAATTTGTGGCCAATTTGTGCTTCTGTATCCCCCGTATTTTGAAAAAAATCCCAAACATATTATTTCATCTATAAATACTTCAGATGTATCTCTAAAGACAAGAACTCCTTTTAAAAATAATGATAGTACTGTCATTCTTTAATGTTTTAATTGTCAGTGTTCACATTTCACTGACTATCCTATATATAATTTTTTTTTTTTTTTTTGGTATTGGGGATTGAACCCGGGGCACTTAACCACTGAGCCACATCCCCAGCCCTTTTAATATTTTATTTAGAGACAGGATCTTGCCAAGTTGCTGAGGCTGGCTTTGAACTTGTGATCATCCTGCGTAGCCTTCCGAGCTGCTGGGATTACAGGTGTGTGCCACCTCACCCAGCAATTTTTTTTTTTTTTTTTTTTAATTTAAGCTTGGTTTTAATTAGGATCCAGGAAAAACCTCTGTGTTTCTTGAATCTCTTAATCCAGGTTTCTCCTCATTGCAGTCCTTTTCCCCTGCTTTCTTCATTGTTGAAGAAACCACATTGTTTATGTTCCAAAGTATTAATTCTGCTATTTGGATCCCCTAAGTGTCTATTGTGCTGTCCCTCCTTTTATCTCCCATATTCATTGTTAGATCTGAAGCGGCTCTGTCCAATAGAACTTTTTGTAAAGATGAGAATGTTCTATATCTTGAAATGTAGCTAGTGTGACTAAGGAACTGAAATTTTAATTTAATTTGAATAAATTTTAATATAAGTAGCCATGAATAGCTAATAGTTACCATGTTATTGCAGATTTGGAATCTTGATCAAATCCAGATTTGATTTTGTTATTATTTGTTTGTATGGTAGACTACTTGATAGGTAGTAGTATGTATATCCATAGAATCTAGTCCTTTTTTTAATCATCCAACTTCCTAGTTTATTTTGTCGATGGTGGTGGTGGTACTGGGGATTATGGGTACTGGTACTGGGGATTATGGGTACTTGACCACTGAGCCACATCCCCAGCCCTATTTTGTATTTTATTTAGAGTCAGGGTCTCACTGAGTTGCTTAGAGCCTTGCCATTGCTGAGGCTGACTTTGAACTTGGGATTCTCCTCTCCTGTCTCACCTTCTAGAGCTGCTGGGATTACAGGCGAGTACCACCATGCCTGGCTCCAACTTCCTAGTTTATAGTAGAGTTTTACAGGTTTGGATAAATTTATAATGATATATAACATTATAGTATCATCACAAAGTAGTTTCACTGCCTTAAAAATTTTCTATGCTTTGCCTATTAATCTCTCCTTCCACAAATCTTCTGGCAGTCACTGATCTTTTTTTTTTTTTTTTTTTTCTGTCACCTTATCATTTTTACTGTCTTCACAGTTTAACCTTTTCCAGAATGTCATATAGTTAGAATTCTACAGTGTGAAGCCTCTTCAGAATGGCTTCTTGTACTTAATAATATTTATTTAAGTTTCTTCATGTCTTTTGGTTTTTAGCCCTAATATTTTTAGCCCTGAATCTTCCATTTTCTAGATTTATCAGTCACCTACTGAAGAATATACCAGTTACTTCCACGTTTAGGCAGTTATGAATAATTCTGCTGTAAAAAATACCTGTGCAAGTTTCTCTGTAGATAAAAGTTTTCTTTTTATTTATTTATTTATTTTTTAATTAGTTCCTTTTAGATAGACTTGTTTTTTCCCAGTAATACTTGGACTTACTCTTGACTTTCGGGTCTTACCTTTTTGTATTTTTGTATTGTTCATTTCTTTTAATTTTGTCCCTTCTGTTAGATGGAGACCCCAGGGCAAGGGATTTTTATGTTGTCAATATGCTGGAGGCTTCAAATATTTATGCTGAATTAGATATTTTAAATGTTTGTTGATATAGCTAATATATCTACTCACAGAATATTTCATAGCACCTTTTTTTTTTTTCCCTCTTTCCTAACAAATCATACTGTCTTGGTCCGATTAATAAGCTATGGATTTTTCATTCCCTTGGATATAACCAAATTATCTATTCTAATGATGTGTAATATTAACAATTAAGTTAAAGTTTTATCTCTAGTATTTTGCTTTTCTAAATGCTGGTTAGAAGTTTAGTATATTAAAAGTTAACTTAGAGTCAGATATGGTGGCAGGTGCTTATAGTCCTAGTTATTCAGGAGGCTGAGGCAGGAGGATCATTTGAGCCAGGGAGTTTGGCACCATTCTGAGCAATACAGAGACCCCCATCTCAAAAAAAAAAAAAAAAAATCATCCACTTGGCCCTCAACTGATAGGTCTGACATTTTTATTGTGTTTATACAGATATTTAACACAGTTATGCCATTCTCTCCGCAGCTGTGGATTTCTTCAATCAGATTAACATGTTGTATGGAACTATTACAGAATTCTGCACTGAAGCAAGCTGTCCAGTCATGTCTGCAGGTCCCAGGTGCATATACAGCCTATTATATAGGTGTTTGGATTATCTTGCTTTCTCACAAATTGATATATAAGTTAAATAATAAAGACTTTTTGTTTATCCTTGTTTGCTTATGTAAAGGTAATTCAGTTTTATTAGTTCTTGAATACTCACCTACTATAGCTATGGTTGCTTTGTTTTTGTGATGCTGGGGATTGCACTGGTGCTTTACCAGTGTGTAACTGTTAATATTAAATATTTTGATATGTGATTTCTCAGTGTTTGATTTATATATATCATAGTGAGTCTGAATAAAAGTATAGAAATTTGACATAAGTTTATCTTGCATCACAAAAATACAAAGGTTCTGTTTTGTTTTTTTAATTTGATTAACAGATTAACATTTACCATTCCTCTTGCTAGTTTTTAAATAAATTTCTTAAGAGTTTTTAGTTGACTTTTTAAAAAATATTTTTTAGGACCTTTATATGGGCCTTTATTTTATTCATTTATTTATATGTAGTACTGAGATTTGAACCCAGTGCCTCATGCATGCTAGGCAAGCGCTCTATCACTGAGCCATAACCCCAGCCCTTTAATTGACTTTTTAATATTTGATTGTTTTTAAATTTTGCTTATTTAGTATTAACAAAATGAATACAATTTAATAAAAAAGATGCTAGGTTGAAAACTATTTTGACTGTAATAATTTTCAAGAAATATTTTAGAGTAGAACTCTTTCTTACTTACATTGTAAGTGAGGGTGTGATGAGATTAATATTTTTGTTGTATTTCCTTAGTGTTTTCCCGTCCTATTTTTATTGCTGTATTTTGGGAGGGATATTGTTATTTTATGTTATAAGTTTTATTCCTTAAACTTTAAAAGAAGTTAAAATAGAGCCAACATGGTGGCACACATCTGTAATCCCAGCAACTCTGGAGGTTGAGGCAGGAGGATTGTGAGTTTAAAGCCAGGTTCAGCAACTTAGGGAAGCCCTAAGCAACTTAGCAAGACCCTGTCTCAAAAAATAAAAAGGTCTGGAGAAGTGACTCAATGGTTAAGTGTTCCTGAGTTCAGTCCCTGGTACCAAATACAAAATAGGAATTTTAAACTTCTCTGTAGCTTAAATACTTTATACAGTTTTGCATAAATCTTGTTAATTGTTCTAGCTTAGCAAAGGTGAAGGGAGAAAATATACATGTCCAAAAGGTATTTCTCTAACATTCTCCAAGAAACAGGATTTTATAATCTTGGTTCCATTGGTGATAATAATTTATGGCCAAGGATCTTAGAATGTAGTGTATCCACCACCTCCTTGCTCAGTCCTTAGCACTGTTCTCCTTAGACAGGAATGCAGTTCCCAAAGCTGTCCTATAAAATATCTATCAGCTGCCACATTGTCTCCCCTTTTTCTTCCAGTTACAGTTGTCACATTTTAGAATATTCTATAGGGAACTTACAATAATCTTCAATAGAACTTTAGGTAATTTGTTAAAGTTACATATAGTATATTGATAAAATGTGGACCTGCTTTGATTGTAAGTTACACATTTGTTAATGGTTTTGAAAACTATGGGTAAAACACTTTTCTTTCCAGATATGAATATCATTGGGCAGATGGTACTAATATTAAAAAGCCAATCAAATGTTCTGCACCAAAATACATTGACTATCTGATGACTTGGGTTCAGGATCAGCTTGATGATGAAACTCTTTTTCCTTCTAAGATTGGTGAGTTAATATTGTAAAACTTATTTTTCTTTCTGAATGATAGATGTAATCTTTTTAACACTTTTTTACCTTAAAATAATTTAATAGAGACTACTATCTTTTTCTCCAAAAAGTTTTTCTCACTGTATCATTGTACCTCCATTATGTTTGTGTCTGTTTCTTCATCACACTGTTTATTTACCCGTTTTAAAATCTTTACCAAATTTTTTGAATTTGTTTTAATGTGCATTTTAAAACTATTGATGAGATTGAGCATTGTTTTGTTTATTGATCACCTATATTTATTTTGACCTATTAATCATTTCCTTTATGATTTGGATTTCAGTAGTGATGAAAAAGCTTTCCTTACTTCCAGGTTATAAAAAATACTTATTTTGGGGCTGGGGATGGCTCAAGTAGTATGTACTCGCCTGGCATGAGTGAGGCACTGGGTTCGATCCTCAGCACCACATAAAAATAAAATAAGGATATTGTGTCCACCTAAAGCTAAAAAATAAATATTTTTTTAAAAACTATTTATTATTTTTTTAGGTGTAGATGGGCACAACACAATGCCTTTATTTTTATGTGGTGCTAAGGATCGAACCCGGGTCCTGCCCATGCTAGGCAAGCGCTCTACTACTGAGCCCCAATCCCAGCCCTAAAAAATAAATATTTAAAAAAAAATTGCCATTGATATTCCTTAACAAATTCTTTAAAAAAAGAAAAAAAAAATACTTATGTTTTCATCTAGTATTTTTGTTTTTCCATGTAAGTCTTAGGTCAGGATTTTTTTCTTGTGAATGCCGCCTTCATTTTTTTCCAAACACGATAGCTAGCTACTTTGTCCCAATATTACTTTTGAATATACAGTATGTCTTTTCTCTCCTGATTATCTCATGTACACAACAAACTGCCATATTTTTTAGGGTCTTTTTATCTCTTTATCTACTGCTATGGAAATTCCACTGTTTTAATTCACCTTGTCATGTATCTTTTAGCGTCTTCTAGGACTAGTGTCCCTTCCCTTCTCTTTTTTTTTTTTCAGAATATTCCCAGCTATTCTGCGATATTTGTTCTTCCAAAGAACTTAGAATCATTTTCTTAAGGTAAAAAACTGTCTTAGATTTTACTTATGATTACATCCAATTTTTACAGATAAATACAAGGATTCTTGTTCTCTTTACAATACTGAGTCTTCTTAGCCAAGAAAAACAAGATAACATTCTTTATTCACTTTTGTCTTTTATCTGCTTATAAAGTTCTATAGTTTATTTAATCCTTCAAGTTTCTTAAATTTATTCCTAGGCATTTTATACTTTTTATTGATATCTGGTTTCTGATTATTATTTGATATGTAAGAAAGCTGTTGATTTTTCTATAAATTTTATAACATCAAACTTTGTATCCATTAGTTTTTGGTCAGTTCTCGAGTTTTTTAAGTATATAACCTCATATGAAGATGATGTTAATTTGGCCTCTTCTTTTCTGCTATGTATTTTTCTTGTTTTATGCTTATCTAATTGCACTGACTTCCAGAAAAATGCTGAATTATAGTGACAATGGCAGAACATCCTTATTTTGTTTCCTTATACTTATTGAAATACCTGTAGAATTTCCTCAATAAACAGGAATTTCTTGTTAAGGGGTATGGATTTTTTTTTTAAATCATATTAATGAAATATTGATTCACTTCTATTATAAAAATGTTTTAAAATCTGGAATGGTTGTAAGTTTTTTTTTTAATCAGAAATTTCTCTTGTATCTACTATTGATGACTATACGACTTTCTCCATTCTTATTTATTTATTTATGCTAACCTTTTGCATGCTAAAGCACACACTGCCACTGAGCTATACCTGCAACCCCTTCTTTTCTTTTTCTGCTAGAAGAGTTTTTCTTACTTGTTAGTATTTTGATGAAGATTTTGGCATCATTATTCAAGGAGGAGATTAGTCCTTGTCATTTTCAATTTGAGTATCTCTGAGCAACATATTGTTGAATTCCTTTTTGCAATCTAAGTAGAGGCTTTTTCAGGAGAAAAATTTATATCAAGTTGGTGCACTTGGTCTGTTTGCTGTGGTCACTTTTTCCATTCTGTTACTTCCTTTCTCACAGATTCTTTATTGTATACTGCCTTTGCTCAAATATGTTAAATTCCACTTGGAAAGTACTTAGATCAAAACAAATTACTTTTTTACTCACTAAGGTTTCCCTCTTATAGACAGAAAACATTTTTTACTTTATTCTTTTTTCTGAGATTCCCATTCTTTGATAATTAATTCATTCTGATGGTCTAGAATCCCCCCTTATGTTATGACTTACTTTTATTCATTATTTATTCTTATTAGAACTGTTTATTATTAATATTTAGTAATATATTCAAGTTATTAATATTAAAATTCCCATTTGTACATTTTGAATGAACGGGTATTTGATTTTTTTTATTTTTATTTTTTATTTTTTAGTTGTAGTTGGACACAATACCTTTATTTTATTTATTTTATGTGGTGCCAAGAATCTAACCCAGAGCCTCGCACATGCTAGGCAAGCATTCTACCACTGAGCCACAATCCCAGCCCTGGTATTTGATTTTTAAAATCTGCCTTTTTAATACCCGAATACAAGATCCTGCCCACAGAAACATTTCCATAAGCTCTGGTGTAATATTTGAAAAGTCAAGTTTGACAAGACTTGGGAGGGAGCAGAATAACCACAAATCTGCAAAATATACTTGATTTTGAGCAGTTAAGGAGTAAGAATAAAAGAAAGAATGCAGGGAAAGAGTGTTTAAATAAGCCTTTGCTTTCTAAAGGGTTGAAAAAAGGAGGTATTTTAAGAATAGTATTGTGGAACCGGCATTTAAGGCTAACTCATCTTGGTTGTTTTGGAAGCAGATGCCTTCTTAGTGTTTATTCTCTGTAGCCAGTGTCAATTGTATTCTTTCTTACAAATTTGTCAACCAAAATTTGTAGGAATGAGCTAGACACTGTGATGCACACCTGTAATCCCAGTGGCCTGGGAGGCTGGGACAAGAGGATCACAAGTTCAAAGCCAGTCTAAGTAATGTAGCAAGGCCCTAAGCAACTTAGTAAGACCCTGTCTGCAGTTAAATATAAAAAGGACTGGGAATGTGGCTCAGTGGTTAAGCACCCCTGGGCTCAATGCCAGTACCAAAAAAAAAAAAAAAAAGAATTGTTAGAAATGTAACCAGTTGCAATCCTGTCTCCACTGTTGAGAGAGAGAGACACCCCCCCACACACACACACAGCCACCTCTTTAAATTGGTGTTTATTTTCTTTGAAAAATAGGGAGGTTCTCTTTCCTTTTTTCAGGGTTCATACCCACCTTTTAGGCTACAGGAAAATGAAAACTGGCTTTTCCAAAGTAATTCAGAAGATAAAATGCTTTTTGTGGGGGTGGGGGTACAGCGGATTGAACTCAGGGTCTCACTGAGTTGTTTAGCGCCGCCTTTTTGCTGAGGCTGGTTTTGAAATTGCGATTCTCCTGTCTCAGTCTCACAAGCTGCTGGGATTACAGGTGTGTGCCACCGTACCTGGCTGAATATAAAATACTTTTTACATGTGGATGTTAATGACTCAAAATGTACCTGTACTTCTCTTTGGGTAGGAAAGTTTCCAGTCCCAGTTGAGAGAGAAAAAGTATACATGTACTTTTTCTTAAGAGTTATAAATCACAAAACAATACTCTATTTATAATTAAAATACTGTTGGATTTAATCTTAGGAAGAAACTTTGATATTAAACTCTAATAGTAAAATTGCTTATTTGAGCTGGGCACGGTGATGCACACCTATAATCCCAGTAGCTTGGGAGGTTGAGACAGGAGGATCATGAGTTCAAAGCCAGCTTCTCAGCAAATACTGAGGCACTAAGCAACTCAGTGAGACCCTGTCTCTAAATAAAATACAAAAAATAGGGCTGGGGATATGGGCTCAGTGGTCAAGTGCCCCTGAGTTCAATCCCTGGTACCCCAACCCCCCCCCAAAAAAATTATTTATTTGAATTTTGATTCAGCAACATCTTGTATAATTTGATGCCTGTGCCTGCTGTTCTGAGGCAATCAGAAAAGGGTGTTTGTGAGGAATATACTCAGATTTGGGAGTTTTTCACTTTGTCTTTTCAATATATAGAAATAAGCTTGTGTGTGCTTATAAGTGTATATGTATGTTGCAGGTGCTTATAGCACTGTCAAAACTTGCTGCTATTCAATTAGATAAAAGATTGATATATGTGTATTTTGGGTTATAGGTGTCCCATTTCCCAAAAACTTTATGTCTGTGGCAAAGACCATTCTAAAGCGTCTGTTCAGGGTTTATGCCCATATTTATCATCAGCACTTTGATTCTGTGATGCAGCTGCAAGAGGAGGCCCACCTCAACACCTCCTTTAAGCACTTTATTTTCTTTGTTCAGGTAAGTGAACCATATTGATTTCTGAGTCATGCAACTTGGACTTGTTTGTATTGGTAACCTTAGTAGACCAGTGTGTCTTATTTATAGAATGTAGAGCAGCTAAGCACAAGCAGGTTTTCTCTTCTGTTTTATTTTTTTCCCCACATTGTCTTTATTAATCTATAGAGCAGCATCAAAAGGTATTACTTCCATTGGGCCTTCTGCCTCTGGCTTCCCCAGGTCTGTGGTTAGGATGTATCATTGAGGGACATGGCCTATTGTCTTTAGAGCACTTAATTAGAATGATTACTTTTAAAAATCAAAAAAGGGGCTCAGGTTGTAGCTCAGTGGTAGAGTAGAGCACTTGCCTTGCACATGTGAGGCACTGGGTTCTAGCCTTAGCACCACATAAAAAATAAATTAATAAAAATTTATAAAAATAAAAATAATTCACATTGTTTGAAAAAAGATCAAAGAATTGGGCTCCTTCTAGCCTAACTTAGAGTTGTATAATTTTGTATGTAAAATATAAATATGTCTGTCTAGATATCATTTTATGGAAGGAAAGCCTAATAGCATTTCAGTAGATATTGTGTACTCTGGTTCTCTGTGTAACACAAAGGAAAACATACCATAGTCTTTCTTTTCTTCCAAGATTGTTACATGTGAATGTTTGGGTGTAAAAGTAAAAAGTCTTCTACCCCAGAGGTGGCCACTATCAAAAGTTCAGTTTGTAGTTTTCAGGTAATTTCTATGTAAATTCAATTATGTTTATATATATATATATACACACACACACACACACACACACACATATACATACAAACACATATGTATATAAATATCGTTTATACACAAACACATGATATGATCGCTATAATCAGTTATTTAATAAGTCCTCTAGCAAAGAATATGGAGTGGGGGATAGCTCCTACTTTACTCTCACAACAGATCTAATGTATGGGTTTTCCCCCATATACACTAAGCAGGCAGTCCATTTTACAGCAGACACCAGCTAGGTGTCCTCTAATCTAACTCAACTAAATTCTGACACTAACTATCTGGAGATAGTGTGAGATCCCACAACTTCAGAGCTTAGTCCCACAAGTCCTGCCCCCAACTTCAGACATCAGTCAAAAGTAGTGGGTTGTTCCCACCCACCAAAAAAAAAGTAATGGGTATCATTTCTGATAGAGCAGCTATAAATCAGGATTCCCAGGACACCCTCCTTAAGTTTGATTAATTTGTAGGAGTTATTCACAGAACTCAGGGAAACACCTTTACCATTTTATTATGAAGGATATTTTGAGGGATACAGATGAATAGCCAGAGAGAAGAGATGCAAAGTGTTGAGTCCTGGGAGAAGGGATATGGAGCTTTAATACCATACCCTTTCCAGGCATAACATCCTCCAGAAACCTCTATGTGTTCATCTATTATCTAGAAGCTCTCTGAATTTTGTCTTTTTGGATTTTCATGGGGAGTGCATTACTTCGCTGTAATTAATTACATCATCATCCGTTAGTGATTAACTCATCCTTCAGCAGCTCTTTTCTCTCCATGGTTGGGTGGGATGAAAGTCCCAAAACACAGTAATCATGCCTTGATCTTTCTGGTGAGCAGCCTCATCATGGTACTCTTCAAGGGCTCCCAGCTACCAGTCATCTCATTAGTGCCCAGAACAGACACTCTTGCCACTCTGAAGACTTCGAGGATGTTAGGAGCTGTATGTCAGGAAAACAGCCATGAGGAAGACCAGTATATATCACAATATCACATTTGTGGGGCTTTTAGGGTTTTTTCAAGAAACACTAGTATTTTTAAAAAGAATAAAAAATAATTGCTTTAAAATGTTTACAGAGCTCATTAGATAATTCTTTTGAATTTCAGAAAACTAGGGTTGTGAATCCTTTCTCTAAAAATAAGAAATTAAAAGAGTTTTAATTTAGGACCATTTTTAAATTTTGTTTTTCTTCTCTTTTTAGGAGTTTAATCTGATTGATAGGCGTGAGTTGGCACCTCTTCAGGAATTAATTGAGAAGCTTGGCTCGAAAGACAGATAAATGTTTCTTCAAAACAAAGTTACCCTCTTGCTTCATCTACTGCTAGAGATATTTCATTGTTATCTGTTATAGACTAGTGATACAAACTTAAAGAAAACAAGATAAAAAGATACCTGTTTTCTGTGTCTACAGGTAAAATTGTCCCAAAGGTAGGTGGGCCTGATAGTTTCAGAATGAGACCTTAAGGACACAGCAAAATCAGAGGGACTGTGGGACCATTCCCATTATTGTCAGAGTCATACTTGGTTGTAACATGTAATTACTAGCCTGTAGTTTTCTTTTTTGCTCAGCAAAATGATTGAATCTGTTTCAGTTGACAACATAACACATAGTTTTTACCAATAATTTATTAATTAGTTTTCAGAACAAATTTCCTAATAACACAATCAGATCAGTGTTATTCTGCTTTTATTTTACAAAAAGGAAAGTTATTTTTAAATTTCCTTAACATTTAGAACTTTTGTGTCACTTTGGATAATCTTTAGTTTCAAGTTTGAATGCTAGTGTTTTTATAGATAAGAATATATATGTTTTCAAAATCCACAATCACAGTTTAAATCTCTTATGGCATATGTGGAATGGGGAGTAACCAAAGTTATTTTTAAAGTGACTTTATTTTGTAATCTTTATTTGGGATTGTATTCACATCTATCTAAATTATTAGGAATGTGTGTGTATCAGAGATAATTTTTTTTTTACATTCTAATGATGGTCTTGTAGGTTTTTATTTTGAAATGCTTCTTTCAAATCAATTAATATATAGCTTTTGATTAAGAAAAAGTTTCCAAAAAAAATTTGGCAAACAGGTCTCAAAGCCACTGTTCATTTATGTTGTTTTTCAGAGGCCTTACAGTTCTGGGTCAGAGAGTTGTAGAAAGTACTCAGAGTATTTTATTATTTTATTTCTTAAAAATGTTACTTCTGTATTTTTAAGAGTAGTATAGAAATGCACAAACTTTATCCCAATAAGGACAAAATTTAAAACCACAATAAAAAAAAAACATGAAGGTGCATACATTTTATAACACAGCTAAAGGTTTGGTCTGCTACCTATACTTGACACAAAGTGTGTATATAAAGTCAACATAATGGGAAAATAGGTTTAAAAAAAAAAAAAAGAACAATTTTATATCATTCAGTTAATTACTCAAAGGTGGATTGAGTGTCCATAGGGGTTTTATCCTGTTTGTATCAAAACTTGAAATTCTTCTCTTTCTACTGGGATAAAAGAATCTTCACATTTAGTGAAGAAAATGCCTGTTTTTTATTTGATTCTTTGAAGTCTGTCAAAGCTTTCATTCATCATCATTTTGTGTTGCAGAGCTTTGGATTTTGCAGAGTACTAACCAGACTCCTTGATGTCTTTGATTTGATGAGGTTTTTTAATAGCTCAATTTCAATAAATTCTTAAACAATACACAGAATTTTAAAGGACATTATTTCATTTAATTTAAGCTGAAACCATCATTGTTTAAGGAATTCAAGAGTAGTGTAATCACGAAAAAAAGAGAAAAGCCCTCTGTAAACCATTCTATAGTTCATATTTTAAATGTATTGAGAGGTCCAAATGTCAGTCATTCTGCACATTTTCTCTAATTATTGGAAATGAGAGTGGGTTCCGAACGTGGCTGGGTGCGGTGGCGCACACCTCTAATCCCAATGGCTCAGGAGGCTGAGGCAGGAGGATCGCAAGTTCAGAGCCAGCCTCAGCAATTTAGTGAGGCACTAAGCAACTCAGTGAGACCCTGCCTCTAATAAAATACAAAATAAGAATAGGAATGTGGCTCAGTGATTGAGTGCCCCTGAGTTCAATCCCTGGAACCCCCTTACCTCACTCCTCCCCCCAAAAAAGAGTGGGTTCCTGAATGACACCTAGAATGTAATTACCTCTCAACCTCCAACCCTGTGGACTTTTTATTTTATTTCTTGTGTTACCAAGGATTGAATCCAGGGCCTTGCACATGCTAGGCAAGCGCTATACAACTGAGCTACATCCCAAGCCCCTTTTTAAAGTTTATTTCAAGACAGGGTCTCAGAAGTTGCCAACTCTGGCCTGGGACTTCCAATTCTTCAACCTCGGCCTCTCAAGTAATGGGATTACAGGCAAGCACAATGGTGTCCAGTGGCTTTAATTTTTTTAAGTCTACAAGGAATGAAATTGTTTCTCAATTAGGTTATACTTTTATCATAATTTCTAATATTTCAAATATTCTCAAAAGGTTTTTCACTTCTCTCCACTATTTTTAGTGACAGAAATTCTGTTTTCATGAGTAAGCCCCAAAACAAACCAAAGATGGTCACATGGTAGGACAGTAGTAAAGGCAGCTTATTAATGGGTTGTAAATTTTAAAATTGTTGGTAATTTGAGATTTAGAATGTAGTTTTTTATTTTGTTTTCTTTTACTTTTTAATGAAAACATTACTAGATTCCCAAACCAGTTTGGCTCAACCAACAGTGCCACCTAAACATTACGTTCTTTGTCGACTTCTTACAGCAGGAGAATTGGAGGAATGGGAAAGGATGGGAAGTGAATGGTGCCTTCCTGACATGGCTGAAGAGCCACTCTTTGAAAAGTGTTTGAAGAAATCATTGTGTCTTGGTCTCACTTTTGATTTACCTATTCATATTCAGGGTTTCCCTGTTCTTCAGTACTCTCTTCTCTTCCCTTCCTAAGAGGAAGTAGTCTCCTCAGAGTCACATCTCTGCTTCTCATAACATGATTACCATCATGGGGTGGAGAGTGCTTGCTAAATTATGCAGCTAATCCTGTGGTGCTTTAATTTTCAGGCCTTTAAAAAAAAAACTTGGACAATGATGTATAGATTTTTGTTTAAATATTCAAACTGCCTTGTACTATAGTTTTTATATTGAAAGCCAGTTGTATCCTTTATTCTTCAGATTTGCATGAATAAAGTGTCTTTATGGGCTGTCAGCTAACAGGTATTTCTTTCATCTTAGACTTGCAGAGCTCTAGCTTATGTGGCTGCTTACTGGAAAATGCAGATATGTATTCACCGTGACTTTAATAACAAAGACAAAGTTTTTCTAGTAGTGCAGAAGCAAGGGGAACAATCCTCATGGTGATAATAACTTGCAAAGTGACAGTAACTCTTGAAAACCTTGTGGAGGTTCCATGATTATACTGTTAGCTTCTGTCTGAGCAGCAAGACACACCATAAGTAGAGCTTCTGAAATGTGAGTCCTTACCTCAGAAGTACAAACAGATCAGGCCCAAAGAGTGTAAGTCCTAGAAATGTGTTTCTAAGCAGACCCAGTTATGATGCTGGAGCTTTTTCTGCCTCATGACAGGAAGCTATCTTTGTCAGTATGGAACTCTGGCCAGAAAAATGTTGATCTGGACACCAGACTGAGCACCTTCAACAGACACAGTATTTCCCTCCAGAGATTAGTTCACTAAGTGGACTTGGTTTCTACTATTGTAGAATTCTGGCAAAGAGGGAAAATAGTCTTTTGGTCTTCCTATTTTTGCATTCAATTTTGACATTTCAGGCTGTAAGAGGAGGGTGATATTACACATGGTAGCAGTTATTTTATTGAAGTATCTGCACTGAAATTCACTTGGGTTTTCTTTTCATTATTAGACTCTGTTCCAAACAAGTGTTCTGTAAATCCAGATGGATTACCAGTGGGCTATAGACTTATTATAGAGCAATATTCTGTGTTTGTTCTACATTGAAAGTAGTTTGCATAAGTTAGTCTTGGTTACCATCTAAAATATTTTAAAATGTTCTTTACATAAAAATTTATGTTGTATTTTTAAACCTTTAGGGGCTTTATCTATTTTTCTAAGTCAGTTAACTGTACTTTTAAAAAAAGTATTTTGTATCTACTTTTGTAACTTCATCAGAATAAAATATATTAAAAGCAAGAAATGACTGATATAAAGTATGTCTCAACACACTGGCTTCTATTTAAATATGAAAACTTGATTTTTGAAGGTTCTGTGGATATTGAGTATATCTTAAATTTTGAAAGTGACTACCATTGCATATCATTTAATAGCTAAAATATTTCCTTAGCACTTACAGAAGAGTTCCTAAATAAAACTAAGTATCTTATTTACCAGGACCAACCCTAACCCCAAGAAACAGATTGCTAGTGCATATAGTGACTGAAATCCACACCAGACAAAAAGTAGTCTCCTCCCTACCAACCTAATCAAGTTTTGCACCTCTTTTGTATATTCCTAGGTATAAGATTGGAAAGTGTGACTGGAATCACTGATTTTCTTACCTTGAAATTGAGTATTCAGTGTATATCTTTAAAACACTCTCCACTCCAAGCAGCCATTTTTTTTTAATTGTTGGAGAAATATGGTATGTGAGGTCTACAGCAGTGCTAGAATTGTTTTTAACATTTTTTTGAGTAGAGTTAAAAAGTGACTGATGTGGCTACATGGGGGTTAATAATAATTTTTTATAAGATAATGGGTAATCAGTTTGGGATTTTTTTTTCTAACATTTCGGTAGGCTTATAAGCAAACACAAAATGATGTTCATAAGGGTTTCTAATGGCTAAGTGTTTCAAAGCTATTTCATACTTTATAAAAAGAGTGAAATCCAAATAATCTTGGGGCATGCCAGAGTCAGAATTCAAAACTTCACATACAGAAACCATGTCCAAACCATGCCTTGGATCTTCTCAGTAAATACTCTGATAATGTCCTCTCTACCTAGGGACACTACAACCTGTGCCATTATCACTGGCCACTAGATGTCAGTGTCCCCTGCCACAGATGTCTGATAGTCCTCTAAACTGAGGGTATGGGAAGGAAGCAGGGTCGGGCAGAGCCAATTATTCAGAAGTCATAGAATAATATGGGTAATTGTTGAAAGTTGGAGTCACGCTTTCAATAAAGGAGGAATTCTTCAAATACAAATTTGTGAGTTTGATTTAATCAGAGTCGCTTGGTTACAAGTGACAGATTCAGTACTTATTTCCAGCAATGCTGGCTCCCAGTTGCACAAGCACAAACATCTGTCTCCTCTTAGCTCTGCTTTCTTCTGTGTCTGCTTTATTTGTAAAATAGTTCTGCCCAGATGGTTGCCCCCAAGCAGCTCCAGGCATTCTATCAGCTTAGCTAACCCAGTTGAAAAGAGCATTTCTTTAGTTCTATGTAAGGTCACCTCACATTGGTCTGGTTCAGATCATGTGATCAACCCCAAGCCAATCCCCATCTAGTTATCCTGAGTTGGATCCTGTGTTCACTCCTAGAGCTGGAATTGGGTGGGCCTCATCTGAACATGTGGTTTGAATAACAGTGGTTCACCACTACATTGCTTGAAAAAGTTGTTTTGACAGTTTTAAAGTATCATTGACCTCAATGAAGAAAATTGAAAAATTAACAAGTTATCCCCGATCATACTAACCATAACTTTTTAGGAACCAAGCAGAAAGTGTGTCCACTAACAGTAGCCCAAAGGAGAAATGATGAGGGCGGATACATAGGAGTCACTCAATATCAGAATGAATGAGTATATTTATAAAGAGCAAATATTGGTCCAATCCATACAAGTACAACACTAGAGATATTGATTACATAGGCCAGAGTGCAGTGGTAAAAAGCTGATGAATCCTTCAGGGCAGCACTAGATCACATGCTGCAATTACAGCTCCCGAAAGGACTTGGTTGTATTTTGGCTTTGACTTGTCTGACAGTGCTCCATATCCAGGCAGGCTTGCTGACCAATTGCCTCAGCTTACAGAACTCCTATGATGTGTGGGTCCAACCTGTGCCTCTGCTGGGCAATGTCTAGCAGCATCTTAAACCCAGACCTTTCCTACCTCATCCGCAATATCCAGTCAGACTATTTATTCCACTCACCTCCCAAATGTCTCAGTTCACTCCACCCATCCCTCTTGCCACTTAATTAGTGGCAGGCCCCTCATTTCTCACCTGGACACTGCATTATCCTGGGACCTTCTGTCCTTGTCTCCAATTTCAGCCCCTTACATTCCACCCTTTCTCACAGAAGCCAAGGTGATCTTTCTAAAATGCAAATCAGAAAATGCGTCCCTTGTTTACGTCCTTCCACGAGAGAGACCCTGGAGAGAAACCCGAGCTCCTCAGGTCAGAAGCCTGCCCGGCTGCAGCGATGGGGAACGGGATAGGAGAAGTTCCACCAGGGCACCACGGTGAGGAAAGGACGTACCGCGCTCCCAGAGCTGGTGTTGCTGGCTGCGGAGGAAGGGGATTTTGACCTGGCCAAGCCTCTGTCTTGAACCAAGACAGCAGAGGCCGGAGGAGCGCGGTGCTGACCAGACCCAGTCGGGGCCCGAGCTGGGCGGGCGCCGAAGTTCTGGGCACCGACTCCCCGCGGCCGGGGCGGGGCCGGGCAGACTCGCGGCCTCCGAGCGGCAGGGGGCGGCCTCGCCCACAGCGACAGGTTTCGGCCCTGGCTCTGCATCTCTCGGGAGGAACGGCGATCTCGGGCTGCGGGCCGCTGCGGCCCGGCATGGCGGCGTGGAGCCCCGCCGCGGCAGCGCCTCTGCTCCGCGGGAGCCGCGGGGTGAGCGGGCTGGGTCGGGGCTGTTCTCTCCGGGCGAAGCTTCAGGGGGACATGGCCGGCCGCCGTCGGGGCTCTAAGAAGGGCTCCCGGGGGCGCGGGCAGTGCCGGAGGCCGCGCTCTCTTTCATTTTGTTCGTTCATCCGTTCACTCCACGGCCATGGGCGCGCGGAGGAGTGTGAGGCCCTGCCTGGCGCGATCTGCTGCAGCTTCGGCACTGGGTGGAGGTCGGGGTCCAGGGGGACAGACACATAAACAGTTGTGTACACCCGGAAGAGAAATGTTGATTCGCGAAGCGGAGGGCAGTTGCCTCGTCCGGGGTCCAGGCGTGGGTGCCAGGCGCTGCGAAGAAGGGTGGTCTGGGCCATGGGAACTTCGGCCGAACCTCTGACCTTGACCCTCCAAACTCCGCAGCCCCGGGCAGAAAGCCCTGTAGAGGGCACTCCACTCTTGCCCTTCCAATCCTTTCTGCCCCTTCTTGACTGTCTACTTCTTTTCCCTTTGGGATTGATCCTGCCTCCCTGGTGCATGCAGAGGTGTTCTACCAGCCGGCTACTGTCAGCTTGGGTAGTGGTCCACTGGGGACTTCGTCAGGCCTTTTAAGGCGCTGCCCACAGGTGTGCTAAGATGATAGATGGCTTCTTCCCAAGGATTCTGCAGCGCTAACCACCCTCTTCCACTTACTGGTTGCCCATTCTGCTTGCCATCTGGTTACCCTCTGCCTTTCCCTCCACCAATATTCTGTCTCCCAAAGCACCTCCACCCCTGCCCCTGCAATCTCACCCAACCTCAAACATCCACTTTTTGCTTTTCTCTACATAGCACACAGACCTAATTCCAGATTCTTCTCCCGACCTGCATTTCAACTGCCTGCCAGACTTTCTTTGCCTGTGCCCAGTGGGCATGCCCCTAATCTGCTCAAAATTCATCCATCCATGAGGGCTTCTGAGAACCAGCACCAGGCTTCACTGCAGGCTGCTATTTCAGGACAGTTGCTTTCTTGGCCTTTAAGAGCAATTGGTGAGAGAGTCCCATTTGCACAACTGAGATTCTATGACAGGACCCTACTCTGGGCCATCAGGAAAGACGGGTGAAGAAGTGGCACCTTCAGCACCAGCACTTGCTAATAATCCTGGGGTTTTGCCTGCCTTCCAATGCCAATCAGGGACCAGCCCAGTGATTCTCCTTCCTGGTGTCTCCCTAGACTAGCTGTACAAGTCACAGTTTTCTGCTGCTTGCTTTGGTACCAAGAGCCTAGGTCACACCTGGGGTTATATAGCCTAAGAAGACGAAAATCTCTAGCCTGGCACTCAGCCTGCCATGGTCTATTCTCAGCCTCTGCTCAGCATGTGTGGGGTCCAGCCCCAATGGCTGCCAACCTGTTTTTCTGCTGCTTCCCTCCTAAGGTTT